GGTTACAGTGGTGAACTGAAAGTTGATGGAGAATAGAATGAAGATGATATAAAGAACTGAAAGTACCTCTGCTATATAAATATAACAAAGCAGAAAACTCTTAACTCATATGAGAAGAGTAAGGTAGCTCTTGACTTGAGTTAAATGTAGCAGCTCGATTGGGAAGAAACGATAGGTATACATCGAATCATTAAGGCCTTACTCTTAGTCATAGAGGCTTTGGTCAACATGCAGCATCATGCTTCTAGGGACCCATAACTAGTTCAAATGAAGAAAAAAAAAATACCAGCCTTAGCTCTAAAAAACCACTTATGACCACTTATTGTTGCGCTGTGCAGCACACGTATATCACTTGGCATTCACAACTGTTTGTTTTCCAAAAGGCTTCTGACTTAAAATTTGTTACGCATGTGTTGCGTGGTGCAATAGTTGACCCTCTACTTCAAATATCTTCACACCTTACTTTAACTTATTGCAGCAGTCTGCAGAGGTTAAAAAAACAAACAAACTTTTTATTACATGTTGCAACATTTCGTCTCCCTCGTTTGCTACAGAGGGTTGCAAAGGCGGTCCGCGGACTTCAGATATTTTCGCTTCGAAAAAACAAACGGCACCTTACTTATGCAACAACCTTACACTTTTTTTTATCTATTTATGTAATCATGATGTTTCATGTTATTACCAAATTGTGAAATAAAGTAATATCATAACTTTAGTAAATGTTTTTGAACAAATTGAAATATAACTGCATAAATCGGTAAGAAATCGACTTTGCTGGCTTGTTGCACATTTTGGTAAAAATGTGACACCTATGAATGAATAAGTTAGTAATCCTAAATATGTATATGTTGTTTCAAGGATTTATGTAATACAGTTTGGATAGTTATGGAGCAAAATATAATTAATCATGGTTAGAAAATTTTGGGAGAGAGTTATTTATATTTTATTTTATATTTTATTTTATTTTTTATTTCAAACAATGCATTGCTAGGATACATATTAGTTTGGTTTGTAAAGTTTGATTTTAGTTTGGTGATATTATACTCTGTTTCAGGTTCTTAGAATACCGGTATTAACTTGTAATGGTATATCATCTCATACTAAATTGGGTGAACTTACATCACCATAAAGTTATCCTTGGGGCATCCAGTTGTGAGAGTAACATTAAATAAAATGTATACCCGTCTTATCTTTAAAGTTTAAACCACAATTTTATCAACATATGCATCTTATTCAATTCTACTTCAGAATACAAAGTTAAAATCTTTAGTCTCACATAATGGTGGTCCATTATACCTTGTGTATACGGTGATTGGTGGGTGTATATGGAGGTTTTTATAGAATCATGTGTGTGATAATGAGGAGAAATTAGATATTGTGTTTATGCTCAGGTAAGTTTGGTTGGTTACTGCTTTTATTTTTATAATATTTATAACAGGAGTTAGTTACCGATTCTTAAACTAAGGTCCCGTTTGATAGTTTCTGTTTGGGAAAGTGTTGTCTGGTAAAGTGTTGTCTGGGAAAGTTTTCTTACTGGGAAAGAAACCATGTTGTTTGATTGTATATCTGACTGACTGTGCTGATGATGAAAAATGACCCGGTTTATGTCCGATAGTTGTGGAATGGATGAGATTTTTTAAATAAATTAGGATGGTGGTGGTATTGTCCAAAAAAATGAACTAATCCAAAAAAATGAATTAAAAAAATTAACTAAAAGAATTAATAATCCAATAAAGTAATATTTATTATTATATAAATATTATATATTATAAATAATATTTATTAATTGATAATAATCCAATAAAAGAATTAATCCATAAAAAGGAAATAAAAAACGAATTATTGAAATGAAATTAATAATTCAATAAAATAATATTTATTAATACATAAATATTATATATTAAAATAATATTTCTTAATATAAAATAATACATTAAAAAAGTAATAATTCAATAAAAAATCAATTTAAAAAAAAGTTATTTAAAAAAATTAATAATCCGAGAAAGAAATAAAGAGGCGGGGTTTGAGGTATAATTGTCTTTCCAACCCATTCAACCGGAAAGATATGATTTTGGGGCTTTCTTGGAAAGACATATTATATTACTGGGAAAGATTCATTTTTTTGTACAAATCAAACAGTCTTTCCGATCCATTCAGCTAGAAAGATCTGTTTGGATCTGGAAAGATGCTTATCAACGAGACCTAAATAAAAGAAGACAAAGCCCAATCTAATCATCTCTACGTCTTGGAATTAGATTATAACGTTTCCTTGTAATTCAATTCAACAACTGTTTACTAAAAAATGAATACATATAAAACCACTAAGTTTGGTCTTGAAGAGGTCATCAAAACAACTTTTCACAAACAATGTAAATCAAGAGACAAGTATTTGAGCCCTATAATTACAAAATATGGAAGATCATAATTTATATATTCGTTTATGTTTTTTTACAAAATAATGGAACAACATTAACATGCAAGTTTTATATATTTGTAATTTCTTTAAAATGTCAACCAACAATAGAAAAATAAAAAATTAGTCAGTGTCTAAACTTCAAAAATATCGAATGCCACTTAACTATAGCTGTATTTTATTTTTTTTTAAAATGAACCACCCAATATCTTATGGCTAAACTTCAAAGGTATGAAATACAACTCTACGACGGAACACGATCAGCTGTTTATTCTTTAAAAAGTCAACCAATTAGTAAAAAGAAAAGAACCAAAAAACAATGTCTAGACTTGAAGATCAATATAGAATACAGTTGGGTTGATAGTTGTGTTATCTTTAAAAATTCAACAAACCAGTAAAATTGAATGTCTGAACTTCAAAAATACGGAACACAACTCAGCTGATAGCTCTTTATATTTAGTTTATTAGGTAGGTAAATACCGTAAATAGTCTTCATCTTTTGTTTTAAACGGGTTAAAGTTGATAGTCATTTTGGTTACGTTATTTAATCTAACATTTGTTCACACAAAGTGAATATATATGAAGTCACCAAGTTAGGTTTTGAACAGGTCGAAACAATTTTTCACATAAAATGCAGACACAATTGTTTGAGCCATATAATTACAAAAGATGGAAGATCATAATATATATTTGTTTATTTTTGTTGACAAAATATGAAACTCCTAAAAATGAGTGTCATTATTTTCTTTAAAAGGTCAACCAACCAATACAAAGAATCTAATGTCGAAACTTAAAAAACATGGAACACAACTCAGCTAAGAGCTGGTTGTATTTAGTTTACTAGCTTGGTAAACAATCCATCTTATTTTAAAACCAGCTTTAGTGGATAGTAATTTTGGTTACAGCCTTTCTTTATTTTATTCGACAATTGGTTTACAAAATAAATATAAAAGGATTCGCAAAGTTAGATCTTGAACATGTCAAAGCAAATTTTCACAAAAAAGTTGTAAATCATAGGCAATTATTTGAGCCCTATAAATCACAAAAGACGGAAGATCATAATTTGTATATTTTTATTTATGTGGCACATATTTTAAGTGTGAGTTTCATATTGTATTTTCTTTAAAATGTCAACCAACCAATAAATAGAAAAGATAGAAAGAATCTAAAAAAACATGGAATACAAGTCTGCTATCAGCTGGTTATATTTAGTTTATTAAGGTAGATAAGTTCTACTTTTTTATTGGATAGTGGTTTGTTTCCTCACCATATATTCTTTCATATTTTGGTTTGACGAAAAAATTATGATAGTGAAAGATAATCATATTTTAATCAACAATGACAAATGCGAACATGAATTTCAATTCTATTACATGTTGAGTAAATTCCATTTTTTTTCCTGTGCTGAGATGGAAATTATGGATTAGATCCCTAAAATATTTTTTTTGACACGGAGGATCCTTGTACTTTTGGTTTATTTTGGATTCAGTCGTCATTATCACTCAATTTGAAGGTCCAATTATATTTACAAAAGTAGTGGGTTTAGTGGGTTTATGCTGGCGCTCCACAATCTTTTGGCACCGAAATCACATCCAATTAGTTCGAAACCGTAATCGCCAGCAATCTTCCAAATGAAGCAAAAAATAACACTTTCTTGATAGAAATGGAATTGAACCCTGACCTTGAAGATGTAATTACAAAGATGGAATTAAAATTGTAATTTAATATATTCATTTATGTTTCTTGACAAAATGATGGCACTGAAAATAATTTTGACATATTTTTAATTTTTTTTTTAATTAAAAGGTAACAAAATCTGTTTTTTTAGGCCGGTTCAAGTGGATAGTGATTTCCTGAACAACATATTTCCATTCACAATTTATTTTGAGATAAAAAGATAGTGATGGTTAAAGATAATCATTAATTAATCAACAAAATGTTGACATCATGTCCAATAATATAGTTAAAATTCATTACCATAAAATATTTATAGTAATTCGACAATAAAATGATATGAACCGTAGATTTTCTTTTTGTTTTTTCCATTTGTCTTTTTGAAAAAAGAAATATATCATTCCACCTGTGAAATCTGATTCAACTGAACTATCGTCTTAGCATATTTTGTGCTTATCTACTTTTAATATTCGAAGTCAACAATGTTCGAAATAATGCATCATTCAATTTTCACAGAAAAAAGTATGAAATTGGAATTTTTACTGTAGATATATTCTAATTTATATATTTCTTTCTAATTTATTTGAAAATAATGCCTCATTCAATTTTCACAAAAGAATTATGAAATTGGAATTCTAACAAAAAGCTACGTTTATTTCCATTTCCCTGTTTCTAATGAACATGTTCCCATCAGAAAATTTCCTCCATATTTTCAGAAATAATTGTTTATTATCATAACGACATTATCAATGTGAAACCAACTCCCTTCATTGAACATGTCAAGGGATAAGAAATTTCTTGAGCCTTTTCCTGAAACTGAAATTTCTGGGAAACCCACATCTTTATACATATAATTTCATTTCCCTGAGGTGCACAGACCACGTACTTTCAATCTCAAAAAATCAACTCATCGATGGCATCTTCATCATCTTCTCCCTCTGCTCCAGCCTTTTCATCTCATTCCTGGAGTTATGATGTTTTCCTTAGTTTTAGAGGAGAAGATACTCGTCGCACTTTTGTTGATCACCTCTACACGGCTCTTGAACAACAAGGGATTAACACTTACAAGGACAACGTAGCACTTCCTCGGGGTGAATCGATCGGCCCATCCCTTAAGAAGGCAATCAAAGAATCATATATTGTTGTCATCATATTCTCTAAAAGCTATGCAGATTCGTCGTGGTGCTTGGACGAGCTTGCACATATTATGACATGTTGGGATATAAGAGGGCAAATCGTTATGCCCATATTTTATGACGTAGATCCCTCTGAAGTCCGAAAACAAAAACGGAGGTATAAAGAAGCATTTACCAAACATGAGCGTGATAACAAGACCAAGGTTAAATCTTGGAGAAAAGCACTTGTGGATGCAAGTAGCATTTCTGGATGGGAAACGAGGAACATTGCTAACGGGTAATTTTCTTCGTTTTTGCACTTTGTATGCTTAAGATATGTGTGCTATACGACACATATATACTTCTTTTAAGAGTTTATACAAATGTTTTAATAATTTTTTATGAAGTTGATGACCTCTATAAATAGAGAGGTTTTGACTACGCCGCTAGATCAGAGCTGAATATAAACATTTAGAAGATTAATTATGAGATGGTTTCAGTAGATGTGGTTTGTTATGCTAGTGCGCAAGTTTAAAAGACATCCCAAGTCCTAGGATTATGTATAAGCTCAGAATAAGATATGATGTAATCTATTGAGTTCTAGTTCTAGTTCCGTACTTAACACCTCACGTCAAGCTACAATAGACATTCATCTTGTTTAAGTTTTTGCATTCTATCGGATTGTGAAATACGGATGGTATTAGGTTTCTTTTTCCTTATTTTATGGACCATGAGACAAATGACCTCTTTTTTCAATGTGAGCATATGTTAATTATCCTTGTATATCCATTGCATAGGCATGAATCACAAGGCATCAAACAAATTGTTGTCGAAATTTCGCAGAAGGTGCAACAAGTAGCTTCAAGTGCAAATGAGAACCTAGTTGGAATAGTGGCTCGCATGCAACGTTTGAAATCAGAGTTGCAAATTGAGTCAGGTGGTGTGCTTATGATTGGAGTATGGGGGATTGGGGGTGCTGGTAAGACTACTCTTGCATCTTTTATTTATGATGAAATTTGTCGGCAGTTTGATGGTTGCTGCTTTATTCCAAATATTCGAGAGGAATCAAGCATGCATGGTCTGGGAAAGTTAGAAGAAGATATACTTTCAAAAATGGGAGTAAATAGAGTTGGAGGAGGAAGATGCTTGATAAATAATAGGTTTCATCATAGAAAAGTCTTAATTGTTCTAGATGATGTCGATCACCTTGGGCAACTAAAAGCATTAGCCGGATCACATGATTGGTTTGGTGAAGGAAGTAGAATAATTATAACAACTCGAAATAAGCATTTATTAGTTGCACACAAAGTAAATGTGATACATAGTATTAGGTTGTTAGACAATGATGAGGCTATTAAGCTCTTTTGCAAGCATGCACCTCGGGATAACAGAAGTGTAGAAGATTATGAAAATCTTTCTAAAGAGGTGGTCTCTTATGCGGGTGGGCTTCCGTTAGCCCTGACAGTTCTTGGTTCTTTTCTGTGTGACACGGAAATTAATGAGTGGAAGAGTGCATTAGTGAGACTAAAAGAGATACCAGATAATGATATTGTGGAAAAGCTAAAAATCAGCTTTGATGGGCTTAAACCCATTGAGAAAGAGTTGTTCCTAGATATTGCATGTTTTTTAAGGGGGTATAAGAAAGATAATGCAATGAGGATCTTTGATGCTTGTGGTTTTCATCCTATTATAGGGGTGAAGGTTTTGATACAAAAGGCTCTTATAACTATTTCAGAAGATGGAAAGTTTGATATGCACGATCTGGTGCAAGAAATGGGACACCACATTGTTAGAGGGGAACACCCTAACAATCCTGAAAAACATAGTAGAATCTGGAAGGTAGAAGATGTTGTGAAAATATGCTCTATGGATGCAACCACGGTAACGTTAAGCTAGCTTTTCATGATATATATGTATGAAGAAATACTTCTAACTCAACCTTGACACCATTTAATTTGTTCCACAGGAACTTGACATGATTCAAGCAATAAGATTTAAATATAGTAGTGAGGGTCAGCTACAAAGGAATAAACTTCAGAGGAATTTTAGATACGGCAGTGAGAATCAATTAAAAAGGTATAAACGTCTTCTTCATCCGATTGTTGCAAACGCGAAGAACCTTAGGTGGATTGAATGGGAAGGTGATCTTGCAAGTCCATTGCTTACTAACTTTCCACAAAGGACACTTTGTCATCTAGTATTGCATAACAGCTTGCAAAAACAGCTATGGGAGGGTAATAAGGTAATTGTTATTGTCTATCTAATTAAGAGATGAAAACAAAGTGGATGGTGAATGTTCACCCTGCATTATTTTTGGTGTCATTATATATATATATATATATATATATATATATATATATATATATATATATATATATATATATAGGACTAGGATTAAATATAAACTACAAATATTGTGTGAATGTATAACCATTTCTTATCCATTGGATTATAAAAATGAATGGGTATGATATGAGTGTACATATGATTAACATGGGATAACATGCACTGTATAACTGCACTTGATAATTATTAAAGTATTTTAGTCAAGTAACCTATATTTAAAAAAGAAAGACTACTTATTTATTGCATAATTTAATTGGAGTTTCATTAAATACTTATTTATCTTATTTTACAAAATTAAGCATGGATAATTACATCATTTAGTTTTAGAAACGCAAGTCCATAAAACTAGTTTCATACATGGAGTTGATTTGATTCTTTAAGAATGATTCATGACTATTATCTAACATATTCTTGAAGAAAATGAAATATTCATTCTACACAAACAAAAGTTATAACACCAAATGAAAATTCTTGAGGAATATGAAATATTCATTTTAAATATAATCAAATTTTAAACAATATATCATAATTTTAAAGAATATATAGTAAATAAGCCATTTTTGGTATGAATTTCAACATAATGGCCATTCTAAAAGAATATGAAAAGAATATGCATTCTAAAACATAATGATAAAGATTCTTTCTCAGAGAGTATTATTCATCATCTTCTCCAAGTGCTTTTTATCATTGTTTTCATATTCTTGAAGAGTATGGTGCATTGTTAAAGACTGAATTACCTAAGACTACAATTAGTAACAAACACTAACATGCAAATGAAAATATTTGATTCTTATTGTTGTGGAAAAAAATTATAAACATAATAGATATTTGTTATAGAAAGTAAATTATTAGTACATAATAATTCTTAAAGAATGTGTTTGGTTGCACACAAAATTAATTGAACTTACAGTACATAGTAAAACTAAATATATACTTAAGAATGTGTACATGGTAAAACTAAATATATTCTTAAAGAATGTGTTCAGTTTCACATAAAATCAATTAAACATACAGTATGTTGTAAAAGAAATAAATACATTCTTAAAGAATATGTTTTGTTAGATTCAAATCCAGTTTAACCTACAATACGTGCTAATAGTAAATACATTCTTTAAGAATAATCTAATCCAATACAAGTAGTCTCCAACGTTGGAACCTTAATCACATACAATTAAACTCCAACATCGAAACCTTAACTCGTATTTTAAAAAGTTTTTTTTAATCAAAATTCATTCTCTAAGAACTAACGTTAGTTGTAAACATACCAAAAAAATACCTTCCTTCCCATAGTTTTGAAATAATCTGCGTCAATGAGGAGATTGAAAATGCTTTTTCTCATTTTCTAGTTGATTACCTTTGTGAGTTTTTTTTAATAGCTACGGTGAGATTGTTATATAAGAACAAATATGATGAATATTTGGAAACAATAACGTAACATTAGCAATTCCATATATATAGCTTATTTAATTAATGAAAATAAATAAAATAATTTCAAATTTCTATAATTATCCCTAACTATTGATTAGACCAAAATTGGTCATACATTCACACACTATTTGTTGGTTATATATGATCCTAAGTCTCTCTCTCTCTCTCTCTCTCTCTCTATATATATATATATATATATATATATATATATATATATATATATATATATATATAAAAGTGGGTTCAACATAGAACCATAAAACCACCTTATTACAATTGGATCATTTATGAATAAAAAGGTATGATCGTAAAATAACTATTTTATTTAAAAAAATAAAACAAAACTTATTAATGATGTTCCTAAATTATAACATTTATTTGAAATTAATCTCAATAAAATAGGAATGAAAAATTTAAACATCATGCATAAAAAAATTCTAATCACACGAATCAATAAAAAAAATTCAAACATCAAACATCAAATATTCACATTATAACTATGTTGATAGGTTAAGATTGATGCTTACTGTTCATAGATGACCATTGAAAATTATATGAAAATTTAAAAGTGTTTGTAATTAAACATGTACGTTATGATCATATATGAATAAATGTTCATAACTGACATGTTTGAAAGTTATAATAAGATATGAATAAATGTCCAAAAGTTATAATTTTCATCATTAAATATGTATGAATGTTATGATCATATATGAATAAATGTTTATTATTGGACATGTATGAAATTTTTGATCAAATATGAATAAATATCCTGATAATCTTCATAAATGAACATATTTTAGAAAACCCCAGAAATGAAAAAATGTTCATAATTAAACATGTATGTTATGATCATATATAAATAAATGTTTATAATTGAGCATGTATCTATCTATATCTATATATATACTTATAAAGAAGCATTTTTCCTTTCACAACATTCATTTGAAACTTTTATGATTTTTCAATTTCTTTCTAATAATGATTATAAGTTGGTTAATAAGGTTAAATAAACATCTAACCTAAAGTGTAATCATATATAAACTAAATTTCAATATTAAAATAATATATGTACTTTTACTTTTAAAGTTATGTCTTTAACTTTTAACATATTATATTTAATTTATTAGTTTTAAAATATTATGTATTTAAACTATTATCTTTTTAAAGCCATAATTTTTAAACAATTTGGATAAAATACTTAAAATATTAATTTAAATATAACATTACACGGTCAACTTAATTATAAATTATAGTTCAACTTAAAGAACCAAAAGAATATTTTGTAAATAGTTAAACATGATAAGTTATATTGTCTTTCTATTAATGATTATAGATAGGTTAATACGGTTAAATAAATATCAAACCTAAACTGTAATCATAAATAAACTAAATTTCAATATTAAAATAATATTTTTATGTCTAGTTATAAAGTTATGACTTTATATTTTAACATATTATACTTAATTTATTAGATTTAATATGTTGTTGTATATAAATCATTATCAGTTTAAAGCTACAACTTTTGAACAGTTTGGATAAAATACTTAAATTGTTAATTTAAATATAATATTACATGGTCAACTTAAATATAAATTTCAGATCCACTTAAAAACCCAAAAAATATTTTGTGAATAGTTAAAAGTTATAAATTATAGTGTTAAATGCAAAAACTAAATTTTAATCTCAATTTAACTAAAATATCTATTAAAGATATTTTTATAATCATTAAAAGTATCTTTATTAATAATTTATTTAAAATAATCTATTAGTAATCATTAGTTTTTTATGAAAACTAAATTTATTTTGTAATCGTGGTTCCCACGAGTAATAAGATATGAATAAATGTCCAAAAAGTGATAACGTTCATCACTAAACATGTATGAATGTTATGATCATATATGAATAAATGTTTATAGCTGAACATGTATGAAATTCTTGATCATATATGAATAAATATCCATAAATTGATAATGTTCATAAATGAACATATTTTAGAGAAACACAGAAATTAGTCATGTTCATAACTAAACATGTATGAATGTTTTGATAAATCGTGTTCATAAACAACGGCTACTGGTTCACTCATCATGTAAGCAATAAATCTAAATCAAAGTACAATAATAAAATTTGGTGGTGATAATTAATCGTTTTTTAATTCCTTACAAAATAAATGAGCAGATTAGCATAAAGAAAGCATACAATATATAGAAAAAAAATTCAATTCGAAAACATTAGAACATTTCAGGGGACATCACTTTGTTACGCATATCGAAGTGATTAAATAATTTGGCACTTAAATAAAATGTATAAGAAAAATAGGTCACGTCTAAAGCATTAGAATAAGAAATTAAGATCTCACATGATTAACGGGGTTAATCAGCCTTTTGGATCAGATACGCGTACACTCAATAATTTAAATATGTATTAATTAGCTTACGAATCATGAAATATAAATGTAGTTATCTGTTTTTATGAGTTTAAGTTGATCCTTTGTGTGTGTATATATATATATATATATATATATATATATATATATATATATATATATATATATATATATATATATATATATATATATATATATATATAATTGAAAGCATAACCTAGAATTTTCCTTATTATGAAAGTCTAGTGGATGGGTGTGGAATTCCAGACACATGCAAAATACCACTAATGTTCTTTTATTGATCTCTCATGTACGTTTTGGGGCATGTTGATGTGGGCCGCTCAGATGATGCAATTTATTTTTTGAAGTGTTATATGATAAACTTGGTACAATACAACTTTTATAATGCCATGAAAACTTTATTAGAAAAAGCTAGCGAGAGGCTAATATTACGACGAGTTCAAACATTCCCTTAACCGGCCATTGCGCGACCTGTACCAAGTGCTCTGGTTAAAAGCTAAAAGTTCCGCTTCATTCGCCAGGTCGTGAATGCTTCTCCCCGAGTTGTTAAAATGTGGTCGTTCTTTTATTCCCAGATCACGGGTGCTTCACCTCATTCACTAGATCTAGCCATGAGCACAACCGAGACCGACCAACTTTTTAAGTTTTTATGTAAAGATCATCCTCCATATAAATACCTTTTTTTTTTGTTGATTGATTACTATAACAAAACATTGATATCTTTGATTTTTGTTCAAATATCTTTTTTTTTATATTAAGTGATACATAGATTGTTAATTTAACAAACATTTTAAATGCTTTCCATTTACAGATAGAATGAATTCTTTTTTGTTATTGCCTAATCTTCATCCCATTGAGAAATAGTGTACACATTTTAGAATTCTTTGATTATATATATATATATATATATATATATATATATATATATATATATATATATGTGTGTGTGTGTGTGTGTGTATGTATGTGCCATAATTTTGACTTGTTTGCACTTGTAAACAACAGTTGCTGCCAAATTTGAGAACAATTGAACTTTGGGGCTTGGATAACCTAATCATGACACCAGATTTTGATAATCTTCCAAATCTTGAAAGATTGAGGCTTAATAGATCTCGGTGTCTAGAAGTGGTTCATCCATCGATTGGACGTATAAGAAAGCTTGTTTCCTTATCTATAAAAGATTGTCCCATTTTGGATATGTTTCCACCTATTACCCAACTAAAGAAACTTCAGACACTTTCATTTTCCGGGTGCATCGAACTTTTTAAGAACATGGACAATTTACCACATCTTGAGTTGGATAATAGTGGGAAAGAAGTTGCATCCTATATAGAATCAGGTCCAAAATATTTTGTTACTTGTTGGAGGTGTGGTTGCAACAATATTCTTGGTGTACAATGTTGTGTAGGGTTGCGGTTTTTTCTCAAGGACTTAAGATATTTGAATCTTAGCCGGTGTAGTTTGGGAGACGAAGAAATCACCTCTGCTGTTTGGGAGTTGCCCAATTTGCAAGAACTTGATCTAAGTGAAAATAAATTTTCCCGATTAAATTTTAGTCTCTTGCAACTTCCTCGACTCAAATGGCTTAACTTGACTTTGTGCCAAGGCCTTGTTGAATTGTCAGAGCTACCATCAAGTATAGCTGTTGTTAAGGCAGATTGGTGTACATCACTTGAAAGCTTTGGTGATATTTCAAACTGTAAATGGTTGTGGAACGTCTCACACCGGTGGGGGAAAAAACTTGGTGATGGTGACATATTACTAAACTCCATGTTGAAGGTTTGGCCCTACGTATCATTTAAATTTCAATCTTTATCATCTAAACCCGAACATAAGAATCATAATTGAATATCTTTTCCATGGCAGGGAAAGGCTATTGAAGATCATTTTATCCGTGTCACTCTTGAACATCACATTATTCCAAAGGGGTTAGTCGGCAGGTTGTTTATGGGGAGTACATTTATACTGCATTTTCCAGATGATTGGTACAATGACTTTTGCGGGTTCTTAATATGTGTTGTTACCGAAAAGAAAGCTAGGTATATTAATATAGTCATCAACCAAGCGGTAGATGAAGATTCTCTATTTGAGCTTTTGCAGGAGTCTAATGAAGCGGTGGAGCCTAAATATGATAGAACAAGGACATATGTAGGATATGTTTCATTTGGTTCATTAAGGCACACCGCATTTTCAAATTCATCCTACACCATGATTTCAGTTTCCTTAGACTGTGTGTATGGGAATCCGTTTGAAGGTGAGAGTTATATTGTAGCTGAGCTCCTTCCTCGGAAATATCAACAAACAACAAAAGTTGCAATAGATTCCTCAGAGTTTTGGGATAAGGAACTTAATTATATACAACCACCATTTACGGTTCAACAAGATTCAAAGTCTTCTATCAAGATTATATGGCGACTCGAAAAGAGCTTACACTAACTTGTTAGTGATTTGTTATAGGTTTGTGGTGATCTATATATTCCTCTATTCAATCATTATGAACTCTTTCACTATTTTTGTTGACTCTTATTCGACCATTATGATTTGTTCTTTAGTTTTGTTTTCCTTTGTTCTACCAATAAGACATTTAACCAATAAACAAGGTTCTATACTAATATACATTTTAGGCTCATATGTATATACATATTTAATTAGGTTCTATATTATAAAGCTTATACATTTATCAACCGTAGATGAATAATGTTTTATTTCCTCCATCTGCCTCCCACATGTTAACCGTATTTTATATGGTGTATTGTGAAATAGAATACGGGTAGATTAGGAACCATGTTTTATTTGAGATATAGAATATAGCAACAAAGTAAGGATATTCTATTCGGTGTGTTGTATTTGTGATGGTGTTTGGTGTATTTTATTCCATTTAGTTTTATTTTTTTCTAAAGGTCGTGTATATCTAACAAATCGTATTCAATCGTTAAAATTCTTGAGCGGTATTTACTAACATTCTTGTTGATAATCACTTCAACCCTATTATATATGAACTAGTTTATAACCCATAGAAACCACGGATTATAAAATTAATTAAACTTTCATAATAAAAGTTTATAATTATTAATCAATTATTTTAAATAAATTATTAATTAAAAGATATATCAAAATTTTAAAATTATTATAACTTCAAATTTAACATATAATTAGAAAATATAAATTTGAAATTTGAATTAATTACCTAATAGATCTACAACACACATGGCATAATATTAATAAAATTTTGTATTAGAATAACACTTGGCAAAAGAAGATTACAACTATTTATTTATTAGAATAGAGATTTATAGTATACACTTACCATATCTTATTTTTCTTGATCAAGTTAGTACAATATTTTTCTTATCAAATCGATATACTTGCTTTTGCTTAATTGAGGTATATTTTATTTTTCTTTAATAATCTTTATATAATTACATAATTTAGCAATTAACGTAGTTTGGCATTGGTTACTATATATATATATATATATATATATATATATATTATATATATAATATATTATATATATATATATATATATATATATATATATATATATATAATTAGCGTTCAATCTAAAACATTTCTTATGAGAACATTTGAGAACAAATTTAGATCACAAAAATTTTTAAAATTAAAATTATAAAATAATATTCATAATAATCAAAAAATGGTTACAAACA